TCCAACATATTTGGTGAAGAAGCTATGTCTATGTCTATATAATGCTCCTTTAGAAAGGGCAGAATTTTGCTATCTAAGAGCTTCTACAATGTTGCTCTATAACTCTGCCAATCCTCCTCTTTTGTCTAGTCAAGTAACCACTTTACTCACACTGCTGAATGTGTCTCACTTGGTGCAACTTCTTCTGGATTTCTGTGTGGCTTTATTTTGATATCCACAAAAGCCGCCTTATGATCGCTCCCCGTAATTGTTCGCATCTCAATAATATTTGCTGTCTCAACGTGTTGAGCTAGACAATTCGCTACCCAGATCTGATCTATTCTTGTTGCTATTGTAGAATTACTCCATGTATATTTTTTACTTTCTGGGTTGCAAAGTCTGAAAGAGTCCTTGTATTCTCTAAATATTAGCTACCGATGTAGTAATAAATTCTTTTGTATTGATGATGGCCTTGCCCTGTCTAATTGCGGGTCTACCACATAATTAAAGTCCCCTATTAAGATTACAGAATTTGTTCTTTTGTAAAATGTAATCCTGTCACGAATCTTAGCTGAAATTTCTTTTACTACTTCGCTATTGCTTGGTGGAAGATATGTCACCATGACCAAGAGCGTAATGTTGTTTGGTAAATAAAAGCTCACAATTAATAGAAATTTATTTAACTTTTCTACTTTTCTAATATATTTCTCTAATCTTTTGCTAATGAGTAACCCTACACCTAAACCTTTAGATTTGTTCACGTCTGCACTAGCCCAAATTCCTTGATAATTGTCTTTATCTTTTATTAAAACTTTTTCTGTATGCTCTTGTATATTAGTCTCTGTCAACCCAACCAAATCGAAACCTTCTTGCGCAGCCCATACTAACACCAGATCTAACCAATAACTACGTGACTTTAACTATTAATATTATATACCACTATCTTTAAAACCCCATTATTTTCTTCTATTATACTCCTCCTCTGCGTTGGAAGGGTCCAGGCATCCTCCTCCCACATTTCCTAGACTCTTTTTTCCATAAAAACGCCTGTAGCAACTTTTAGGAGTGATTCTGCGCTCCTAGGCTACTCTGCCTTAGCTCTATCACATTGAGTCTTTGAAGAATTTGCTCAAGGATCGTGTTTTAAATATTTTCTTTCTGTTCTATACTGTGAACTCCTGACTCTATTTGCATTTCTGTAGTCGCTACTTTTCTTGTTGTAGACTTCACCTCTACCATGACCTAAAGATTTCTTGGTATTACAAAGGATATTTTCTTTACTTCTATTGTTTTCAAGTAGTGGTAAGGTTCTTCTTTTTAGGCGAGGTGTATCAGCAATATCTTTAGGAGCGGTTGACTTGTTGGCTTTCATTTTTTTCCTCTTATCTGTCGAACTACATGCCTCATTGCTTTCTCTTTTGCAGTTACAGTTCCCTTCTTTCGTAGACATCTTCCACTCCAATTTAGTACTAAAATAATAAGGAATTGATTCTTGCGCTTGTACCAAGTCTTCCTCAGTTTTAAAGTATACGTGTGCTCTTCTGCACTGATTACCATTATAATTACTTAGTATGTGTACTGCCTGCACCTTGAATCTTTTTAATTGTCTGAGAAGCAGGTTATCAAAGGCAGATGTTAGTACATTAAAGATTATGCTTTTGAACTTGTTTTGTTCTTCTAATTCTTTAATGTTGAATTTCCCGGGTGTTGTTCGATAAGTTTTACCCTGATCCAAATGTATAGACCAATTTTCTCTTAAGGCCTTTCCTCTCTCCTCTATATTCAAAACA